AATAAATGATATGAAGGGGTAATTTTGGGATTGTTAATTATCAATGCTTGGTTAATTTCCTATTGATTGATTTAATGCTATACAATTAGGTTTGGCCAGATTTAATTGTATGAGTTTAGCAATATTAATTCGAGATTCGACAGATGAGAATTGATGATTAGGCATAGTTTCAATAGGCAGACTAATTTATAAATGGTTAAGTCAAGATTCGACAGATGAAATTTAATACCGGTAAATTAACTATGTGATTATAATACGTAGCGAAATCCCTTTATAATCTGATTAATCAATGCTTGATGATTGCTTATTATGATTTTCCCTGTAATATTGTTTATTAGTGAACCTATGCCCTAGGTCTTTTAATACTTGATTTTCCCCTACTTTATTTCTTTCGACCTTATTCTTCGTAGTATAGAATTTATTCACAATAATATTGGTTACTTAGATAATTTAGATTATAACAATTAATTAGGACTAGAAAGACTTGTTTCCCTATGGAGTGCGACCCTACTTCCCTATCTACATTAGTTAGAGGACTTAGGTAATTACTTTTGATTAGGGGATACGACATTACCCTGTCACCGTGACAGTTGGTATCAGAGCTAAGTTTGTCGTAGAGATGGCAGAAGAAGGAGAGATGCATGAATATACACTTGAGGAACGACTTGCTTGGCTTGAAGGCAAGTCGGAACATTAGGCTATGCTCGAAGAAAGGTTGCTCAAACTCGAGGATATTGTGATAAAACAAGCCGAACAAATGGAGAGGCTTGCAGCTACAGTGGATGGGTTAACGGAGCAACTTAACTTCGTGCAAGGCGTTGCTGATGAAGCACAAGACAAATGTGCAACCCTAATGCGTGCCCAGAGAGGGCTCGGGGGAAGTGGAGGTGCCAAGATAAAACCTCCCAAGCCCCGGACCTTTGATGGAACGAGAGATTCAAAGGAAGTTGATAACTTCATCTTTGACATGGAGCAATACTTCCGCGTCTGTCAGTTGGAGAACGAGCCAAAAGTTGATACCGCCACGATGTATTTGGTGGATGATGCAAAGCTTTGGTGGCGCACTAAGTACGCCAATATCCAAGCTAAGAGGACGTCGGTAGATACTTGGGAGGATCTAAAGAAAGAGCTGATGACCCAATTTTATCCCGACAATACCGAGTTTGTTGCTCGCACCAAGCTCGCTGCTTTGCAGCATAAGGGTTCCACCCGGGAGTATGTCAAAGAAATTTCAGCGTGCATGTTGGAGATCCACAACATGTCTGAGGAAGATGCCTATTCAAATTTGTGCGTGGTCTGAAGGAATGGGCCCAAAGAGAAATTTGCCGCCAGAAGATTGATACTTTATCGGGAGCCATCGCCGTAACTGAAAGGCTGATGGACTACTCGTCAAAGAAAGGGCAAGGTTTGAAGAAAGGGAATAGTGGGCCGACATCGAACCCTCCTAAAAACTCGGGACATGGTTTCCAAGTGAGCTCCAACAACTCGAACAATAGATACAATAGGAGTGGGGGAGAAGACTCTCGGAAGAGTGGAGCTTCTTCCTTCTCTAGTAGAGGAAGCACCCCTAGTTCATCTTCGACAGCCAGGCCATTGACGTGTATCCTTTTTTGAGGACCGCACAAGTGGTTTAAGTGTCAACACAAGGGAGAAATTGACAATCTCCAAAAGAAACTGTACTCTATGTCCTTAGAAGCGGCCAAGGTTGAAGAAGCCGATGAGATAGAACCTAGTGAATGAGAACATTCAAGACTGGGTGCCATTCGTATGAAGTGTGCTATGGGAAGAGAGGTCTTTGAGGGACAACCCATAAACTCTGAGTTGATGTATGTGAATGTGTTGGTAAACGGAAGGGAAACTCGAGCTGTGGTGGATACAGGCGCTACCCACAACTTCATTTCAGAAAAGGAGGCAAAATGACTAGGTTTGAAGCGGCTACCAGAAGGAGGCAGTATGAAAGCGGTGAATTCAGTTGCCAAACCAATCAAAGGCGTTGCCAAGAAAGTAACAATGAAGCTAGGAGATTGGAGCGGACAGGTGGACTTTACCGTTGCGCCAATGGATGACTTCAGCTTGGTGCTTGGCATGGACTTCTTACACTTTAGTAAGGCAGACCCGATGCCACACCTTAGATCTATTCTTGTGCCCGGGCAGCAACCATGTCTCCTCAGAATTTGCGATCCTGGAAAAGGGCCGAAGGGGACCCTTCTTTCAGCAATGCAATTGGAGAAGGGGTTGAAGAGGAACGAGCCCACGTTCCTCGCAACACTTTCCACTAAGGAAGATGAAGCAAGTGGAGACCTTCCTCCTGCAGTTTCCGAGCTACTAACAGAGTTTCGGGATCTCCTCCCAAAAGATCTACCAAAAGTTCTCCCACCTAAAAGGACGGTGGACCATGAGATCGAGCTGGTTCCAGGGGCGAAACCCCCAGCACGAAGCCCTCATCGCATGGCTCCCCCGGAATTGGCCGAACTCCGAAGACAATTGGAGGATTTGCTTGAGGCAAGCTTCATCCGCCCATCAAAGGCTCCTTACGGGGCCCCTGTGCTTTTTCTGAAGAAACAAGATGGGAGTCTTCGATTGTGCATCGACTACAGAGCATTAAATAAGGTTACGGTGCGCAATCACTACCCTATTCATTTGGTGGCGGATCTGTTCGATCAGTTAGGGGATGCAGTGTATTTACCAAGCTAGACTTGAAGTCTGGCTACCACCAAGTTCGCATTGCCGAAGAAGATGAACCAAAAACTGCTTGTGTGATGAGATACGGGGCATACGAATGGTTAATCATGCCCTTCGGATTGACGAATGCTCCTGCTACGTTTGGTACTCTAATGAACCAAGTATTCCGAGAATACTTAGAATCCAACCTCTTTATTATGTATTCTTCTTTATTTTCTTTGTATTTTCCCTTATGTAATGTCTCTTAAGTCTTTCTTTTACTTTCTAGGCTCTAGGGAGAATTATTGTGTTACTGTCATTTCAACGTTCACTTGTAATTCTCTACTAATTCAATATAAAGCTCTTTAGGGAGCGAATGGTTATTCAATCAAAGCTCTCTACCCCGTTGCTATTGCTTTAAGACTTGTGTGTTGTTTAAGCCTTTATAGATTTTGTGCTTTCCTTGTTTTAAAGCATCCCCCACCAAACCAAGAGACCCCAGAGACGCCTTTATCTCGTCGATTCCGCTTGTGCCCGCTTCAAAGTATCGGCCGTCACAAGCCCCGAATCCGCACTCGTTGTCAACGTGTGCCCTCTTGATCGAGACACCCTAGGTCCGTGTTGCTGTGTGCTCACGAACCTCCCTCGCTTTAGGCTTGCGTCCTTGTCGCTAATAGACAAGTGAGCGCCGCACGATCCGGTGTTAAAACACTCGGACCGTGACATTATGACACAACTACTAATGAATTACTTAGAACAATCACACTTCTTGGATGAAATTAATAGAAAGTCCTTCTAGATGCAGTCCAATATTGAGTCAAGATTGTCTATGATTTCTTGGGACAAGACTTGTCGACCTGAAGACCAACTGGTTCGTAAAATAAAACCCGATAATACAACCTTCATCGCAAAAAATTGGGTCATCTCCGACCCTCATAATGTTTGGGTCCAATCTATGTACGCTAAATAGTTTTGAGACATTTCAGTTCCTTAGGTTGTAATTCTCAACCTAATAAGGATTCGACTATTTGAAACATGTCCCAAATATTTGCCCCGTTTTAATTAAAGGAACACGTTGGACAATAGGTATGGGAATTGATGTTCTATATTTGCATCACGACTAAGTAGTTTAGGAGAACTTTATAACTATGTCAAACTTAGACATTGACCTTGTCAGGAATCTTAATTTGACGGTCAAGCAATGTATTTCAAATATGACAATATGGGATAGTAACATTATATCTGTTTCTGAGTTTTTTTGGTTGTCCCTCAAGAAAGTTGCAACAACGAATATGTCCCGTTTGGTCCTTACACATGCAAAACAACAAAGCTCCAGTAACGGATATTCGTCTACAATAGTCAAGTTAGTACCAGAAGATGAATAGTCAAAGAGGTAAATGGTATGGTTTCTTAATTGCAATTTCTTAATTGTGTCTTCTGAATTTCTCAATTGTCCTTAATAGTTGTAATCATCATGTATTAATAATGTTAAGCCACAATAAGTATTATTTTCCAGTAATCTATAGGTAATAATATAGTCATATACAATGTTGTTGGATTTGTCTCATTATATATTTTATTAATATCAAGTTTTTTGTAATTTTTACACTTATGAAAATAGAAATAAATACAATTTAAGATGCGTGTTGAAGGCCGTGATAAATAAAATGGGGCAAAAACATGTTGATAGAGAGTATAAATGGAGCAAAAATATTTAGGGGTGTCAATTCGGTTAAACAGTTTGGGTTTGGGTTGGGTTTATCGGTTTCGGGTTATAACGGGTCGGTTTATAACGGATTGAAATAATAAGGGGGTCGGTTTGGGTCGGTTTTGAAAATTATCGGGTCAGTTCGGTTTGGTTTTTTTAATTGCAGTTTCTATTCGGATCGGGTCCTTATCGGGTCGGGTTCTAGTCGGTTCGGGTCATAATCAATTTGGGTTGAACTGGGTCGGTTTGAAAACGGGTTTAGCCCATTTAATGTGGGTTTCGGTTAAAAACAGTCTGGGTCTTAATCAGGACGGGTCGTAATTGGTTCGGGTCATAATCAGTTTGGGTTTAACTGGGTCGGTTCGAAAATGGGTTTTGGTTCAAAATAGATCGGGTGAAATCGGGTCCAACCATTATTGTTTCGGTTATAATCGGTTTAGATTGAACTTGGTTGGTTTGAAAACGAGTTTACCCAATTTGAAACGGGTTTCTAATCAAAATCATATCGTGTTAAAATTGAGTCGGATGATTATCGAGTCGAATTAGTCAGATAATGGGTAGGAACGAGTCATGTTATAATCAAGTCAAGTCATAAATAAGTTGGGTTTATCGAGTAGTCGGTTGAAACAGATTAGATCATAAACAAATTGGGTAACAGGTTGTAAATGACTCAGTCATAACGGGTTACGGGTTTTAAACGGTTTGGTCATAACGGGCTACGGGTCGTAAACGGTTCGGTCACAACGGGTTACGGATTATAACTGGTTCGGTCACAACGGGTTACGGGTTGGAACGATTTAGGTTTATCGGATTTTTATCGGGTTTTAACGGTTTTCGGTTTAAAACGGGTCGGGTTACTATCGGGTTTAAACATAATCGGTTTGGATTGCTTTCAGTTTCGGGTTGTAACGGTTTGGCTTGATAACGGGTCGGGTTAGTAACGGTTTGCACAAATTCGGTTTAGTTCAGTTTCGGTTTGGAAAAAATTGGGTCGGGTCAGTTTTCGGTTTCCAAAAAACAGGTTTTAAACAGTTCAGTTCCTTTTCGGATCGGTTCGAAACAGTCGGGTTTAACGATTCGGGTCAGAAACTGACAGCTCTAGGGATAGAGAATATAATAGAAATAACTCTAGCACTCCATAAGTTGGACTAGTTGTCTTGCAAAAACTGGAAAACATTACATGGACTCAATAACTAAGCCCACGTAGCCCATCCAAATAAAGAGTAACAATACTAACAACCAGCTTAGGTACGTCTACACATTCTCTGCCACACATTACCCAATCCCACCAAACTACTTTGGAAAACCAATCTGAGACATACACTACACCTCACTTCATTACAGCAAATGAAGCATTCTTCACCATCCTTCTTCACCTTGACAAACATCAACTACTATGCCATATATATAACTATAATGATACACATACTCTGCATAGCAAGCAGCAGCAGCAGCCTTCACCCAATAGTTCTAGTCCCTGGTAGTGGAGGCAACCAGCTAGAAACTCGGCTGACCGCGAAATACAAGCCTTCGAGCCTTATATGCAGGGCATATCCAGGGCCTTTGCACAAAGATAAAGACGGTTGGTATCGAATCTGGTTCGACGCGAGTGTTCTTCTTGCTCCTTATACAAAGTGTTTTGCTGAGAGGATGATGCTGCATTATGACCCTGTTTCTGATGATTACTTCAATGCTCCTGGGGTTGAGACTAGAGTTCCACACTTTGGTTCTACTCAGTCCCTTTCTTACCTTGATCCCAACCTCAAGTAAGTTGCTTATTGGTTTTTATCAACATTTAATTGATTTAAGTATGTTATTTAATTAGATGGATCAGCTAAGTTTGTGTTTGATGGAAAGTATGCTGTAAATTATTCAGGACAACCTTATTTATGCGTTAATTTAAAGGTGACACCATTGTTGATGACTTGATTAGTAAACCTGATTAGTACTTGATCAGGCAAAGCTTGATGTAATCAAGCTAACTTGGTTATTGTTGGATAATATGCTCCCATGGATGCCTGTATTTGCCAGGATTAGAAGAAAAGAGAGGGACGAATTTGATTGAATTCGCCTGGTACTCCCTCCATTCATTTTTGTTTATCGGCTAATTTAGTTCTTGACTAGGAATGATTTTGTAAAGTTGAATTAATGATCAGAAATTTATGTTTTTAATAGCTTTAATTATCCCAAAATGTCATTGAGAATTAATGTAAGGAGCATACCTCAGATCGCTGTATTAGGTGCGGTGCCATTTTGAGGATAGATATCCTTTTCTATCTAATCTGCCTTTGCTCATTTAGCCTTAACTTGTCACCAATTTTAGAAGAGATGTTGGTACTGCAATGTTATGCTCAACTTTATTTGCAATGGTATGCACAACTTTATTTGCAAATTTTAGGCACAACCCTTTATTTGCAGATTTTGGTATTGCAATGTTATGCACAACTTTAATCGAACCATGGGAAAATTTCTGCGGATACCTCTGCTTTCAGGACAGAACGCCTCATGATTCCAACTGTATTGCCTTTTTAGCATATGATTTGGAATTTCAGACTACAACTGGAGTGGCGGTTTGAATTAAGAACCAAGCTATTGTTTTTTTTTTTTTTTTTTTTTTGGTGCTCACCTGGTCACCCTTTGGGCTAATCCAGATTCGGGGATCAACTTGGGTGGTTAGGTTCCAGTCCCTCCCAATTGTTGTAGCCCCAAGCTATTGTAGATCAACATTCAACTGCCTTCTTGCTTGCCATGTCAAATAATACTCCTATCTTGGCTATCTGGACAGAGCTTTAAGGTTGGATTAGGATTTTGTTTCTCATACTCACTTATAGTTGTTAGATTAGAGGGCATAGCTTAGCAGATTCGGATTTAAGGCCCTAGTAGAAAATATACTTCTCCTAATAAACATTTTTAAGTAAAGTTCATAGAGTAGAAGAGGAGGAAGTTCATAAGTGAGCTGGTAAAACTAGTTAGTTAGAATAATTTGTGTTATATTTTCGATGCAACGTTCCCAAGTCTAATCACAACTACAAGAGGATGAACTTGCCATGTTCCCATATCTTAGTACATAGCTTTCGCGATCAGCTTAGGCCACTATAATCACAACTACATTTTTCTAGCTAAATTAATTGCCTTTATTAACTCATGTTATTCTATCATGAACAGGCTCATCTCAGGATACATGGCACCTCTTGTAGAATCATTGGAAGGAATTGGATACATTGAGAGTAAAACCCTCTTTGGAGCTCCATATGATTTTCGCTATGGCTTAGCCCCAGAAGGCCGTTCATGCCATGTCGGTTCCAAATACCTCCAAGACCTCAAAGATCTCATCGAAAATGCTAGTGCAGTGAATGGAGGAAAACCAGTGGTAATTATATCCCACAGTTTAGGAGGCCTATTTGTCCACCAACTTCTTTTACGTAACACCCTATCATGGAGACAGAAATATATCAAACACTTCATTGCACTATCAACGCCGTGGGGTGGGACTGTCCAAGAAATGCTCACCTTCGCGTCAGGGTACACCCTAGGAGTCCCCTTAGTCAAGCCATTGTTAGTAAGGGAAGAACAAAGAAGCTCCGAAAGTAACCTATGGCTCATGCCATGTCCTAGAATATTTGGACGTGCCAAATCCCTAGTGATCACCACAAATGCTAATTACACTGCGAAGGACATACCAAAATTTCTTACTGATATTGGATTTTCGCAAGGTGTACATCCCTATAAAACTCGAGTTCTACCCATGGTTGAAAAATTAAAAGCACCTGAGGTACCAATCACTTGCATAATTGGAAGCGGAGTTGATACACCGAAGACTTTGTTCTATGATGCAAAGGGTTTTGATAAGCAACCTTCTATTATATGGGGTGATGGGGATGGAACGGTGAATTTGTTGAGCTTGCTAGCAGTTCAATCTGAATGGATGAATGAGAGAAATCAACCATTAAAGATCATTAACTTAAATGGGATGTCACATACCTCTGTATTAAGTGATCATAGATCACTTGATCATATTTTAGAGGTAATTTTTGATGTAAATTCTGATATTTTGGAGTCAAATCGTGTAATTAGTGGAGGAAAATTCAAGAATATTTAATACAAAGTACTATATAGAGCCATTATAGATATATAATGTTAAATTGTGACTCGAAATCTACTAGGGTTGACTTTGAACGCAGATATCCCTCAAACTACAGGCAATTTTGAGGCGATTCAAGTTGGAAGTGATAGCTTGGTTCAAGAGCTTTCCAACGATAGGTCATATGACCAATTCCGATAAGAAACAAGAAAGTTATGACCGTTTTAGGAAGACCTGACAAAGCTGGAATTTGCAACGAGGCTGCGAGATATAGCTCTATGCGAGTGAGCTATAGCTCGGCCCTATAAGGACTTGCGGCAGGCATGAGCTAGCTACCGAGCTATAGCTCGATAGTTAGGTTATTCTAGGATAATTGATGGAATATTTCCTAAAATTATATCTTTTCTATGACGGCTATTTGAGTATACTTGGGGAACAATCTTAGGGTTTTATTAGGGTTTCCTTGTGTTATAAAAGGACTCTTTAGTCGATCAATTAGATCATACCTTTCCTGAGCCATTAGATTTAGGACACCTTGTATTATTCTCTCGTTCTTTCTCCAATATAGTGAATAAGCTCTCGAATCCCCCACCCGTGGATGTAGGTCTATTTTGACCGAACCACGTAAATCCTTGTGTTATTTGTTTATCTTCTTTATTGTTTTTCTCGTCCTTAATTTCATTGACTTGTTTCGCATTAATCAAACACAATTACACCCTTATTTCCTAACATATAATTCGTAGTTTTTAGTGTGTAAATTGGTCATATAATGTTTGTCATAGCTCATAAACTTACTTACATGACTACTCTCTTTGTCAGCTTGTATTATATTGGATCTCAAGCCGGGCCAGTGCAACCTATGCGCTTATAAAGAGCCCAGATACTAAAGGGTCTCATTTAAACGAATGCATAGTATGTAGTACGGAGTACAAGATATACTTTCTCCTTAATTTATTACTCATTCAGTCACTCCAATTTAAATGGGCACGTACACCAATACAATTTTTTTTATCAATAATATATTTAATAACTATTAATAAGAATAAATTATAATAATTGAAAATTAATAATTTATTCATTAAAATGATTCTAACAAGTATGCGTAACGTGGCTATCGAAACGAATACCCAGTAAAACAGATCGAGTTTTTGATTTTTCAAATAATTTTTTGCAACCCTAAGTTTTTGATATTATGCTCCCAATGAAATTTGTCTTATAATAATTAAAAATTACCTTAAATAATTAAAAATTATCCAGAATCAAGGCTAAAATGAGAACTAGGAACTAATCTACACCCTTACACAATGTTAATCGGACAATCCTCATGATTCTCGTGTTATTAGTGGCATTTTCGTACTCCCTCTATTTTTAAATACTTGCTCATTTCTCTTGGATACGCATGTTGATGCTAATTTTTTATCACTAATATCTTTACTTATCAATTAGTGTAAATTCTAACAATTGAAAACTAATAATCTATTCATTAAGATGATTCCAACAAGTACCCACAAGACTATATTTTTTCTTATATATAAATCACAAACATTAGTCAAAGTAGGACAATTGAATAGTGCAAAAAATAGAAATGGAGCAAGTATTTAAAAACGAAGGGAGTAATATTTTAACTTTAGAAAATAGATTCCAGTTTCATTTCTAAAAAAGTAAATAAAAAATTAATCAAAGTAAAAGAAATAAGCAATAAAGTAAATGAAATTGCAATTAAAAAAAATTAAAAAAAAAAAAAAAAAACCCTAGGAATCACACTATTAGAATCCAAGCAAATAACGACAGTTTTTCTACAACAACTAGAAAAACTGTCGTAATATTTTAATTCTACGACGGTTTTTGTAACTGTCGTTAGGGGTGTTCACGGTGCGGTTTGGATCATAAATCGCACCAAACCGCAAAAGTGCGGTTTGTAATTTTTTTCAAACCGCACCAAACTGCACCGCAAGATGCGGTTTGGTGTGGTGCGGTTTGCGGTTTACGGTTTAACCGTATTTTATTAAAATTGAAATTATTCTTTTTAAAACAAAACTTTTATTTTATATTGTAATTATTAGTTGATAATTTAAATATTAAACTCTTTTTATTAACCTTTAATTAACTAATAGTCAAAAATTAGCTCATATATTTTAGTTATTTTATATAATTTTAATGAAAATATAGTATAAAAATTGCAAACCGCATTTAAGTGTGGTTTGCGGTACGGTTTGGTCTCAATAATTTTGGAAACCGCACCAAACCGCAAATCGCGGTTTGGTCATTTTAAAAAATCGCACCGCAAAATTTCAAATTGCAAACCGCAACAAACCGCAAAATTGCGATTTGGTTTGCGGTTTAGTGCGGTTTAAACCGCACTCTGTACAGCCCTAACTGTCGTAATATCACGACGGTTTTTTAAAACCGTCATTGAGTTACGACAGTTTTAGCCAATAAATTGTCGCAATAGACACTAAAAATAAACATAAAAAAAATATTTACAACAACTTATGGTTGTCGTAGAGTTGTTTTTTTTAAAAAGAAAAAAAATGGTATTTAAATACCCAATTCAACAAGCCCACACCAAACCCTAAATCCTCCTCCGCTGCTTCATCACATCTGATTCTTTCTCCTCTCTATTTCCCTCAGTTTCTCTCTCCTCTCCTCCCCTTCTTTTTTTCTCTGTTTTGCTCTCCTGTTCTCCACCTTCCCTCAGTTCCTCTCTTCTTTCTTTCTCAAATTATCTCCCCTCTTCTCCTCCTCTCTTTCCTGATCTCTTTTTCTTTCTCCTCACTCTTTCTCGTCCTCCTTCTTCTTCTCTAGTCTTCCTTCTTTCTTTTCTCTCTCGTTCTCCTTCTTTCCACTCTTTCTCATTTATAAAAATGGAGAAGGTGGCTAAGCAAAATTCATGTTTTGAAGTTCAAGTTTATTATGTCGAGGTTTTTTTATTCAAATTGGACCATAAATATTCCAGATCTGGAGTTTATATGGTCCAATTTGACCCTTAAAAACCAAAGAAGAAGAAATTTTCGAAGGTGTGTTAATTAGTTTTGTTCATCTTCGTTTGATTTTTGTTTAATTTGTTTGATGTTGTTATTTTATTGTTTATTTTCGTTTGATTTTTTGTGGCATTTTTGTTTGAATTTGGTACTATTTTTGATAATTTTTGTTATTTCATTAATTTTTTGTTGGGTTTTTTGTTATAAACTACCTAATACAACCTAAAATTTGTGAGAAACTACCTTTTAAAAAGTAAAATGTTGTAAGGTACTACCTTTGGCCAAGTTTCCACCATTAATATAATTTTAAGGCGTTGACCTACCTCAAATCACCCCCGAAACTACCACAGAGTTTTTTTCAAGGTGGTAAGGTCATTTTGGGGTGGTTAGAAGATATTCCTAGTTGGTGAGGGTAGTTTAATTTTGTGATTCCATATGTTGATTTTTGGGGTTAGAGGTGGTGGTTTTAGGATTGAAGGGTGGTTTTGGCTTGGTGAAGGCAATTTCAAGTAGGTTGTGTTGCTTTAGGGGTGAAAGCGTGGTTTTGGGGGTGTTTCGAGGTGTGTCAATGGTGGATTTCTGGCAGAGGTAGTATTTTACAACAATTAACATTTTATTAGGTAATTTCTTACAACATTTAACCTTTTATTAGGTAGTTTTTTACAACTTTTTTTTTATTAGGTAGTTTCTCACAAAATCTGGGCTTTATTAGGTAGTTTTTGATAAAAAGTGCTTTTATGTTTGATTTTTTTTCTTGGTTTTTGATTATTTGATATATATTTGTATTTCTTATTTGATGTTGTGTATTTTTGTTTTATATTTTCATTTATCTTTCTTTATTATGTTAGGTTATCTTTAATTATTAGTTTGTTGGGGTTTAATTTTTAGATCTTTTTTTTTGGGAAATTTTGCGAATAACTACCATTTAAATCACCACTTTTGAGAACAACTACCATTTAAAATTTTCTTTTGAAAAAACTACCACAAAAACACAAAAAGTTTGAGTTGCACTACCGCATTTATTATTTCCGACAAGAATCTCCGTTTATGTGGCATATTTTATAAAATTTCCCTCAAAAAACCCAAATTAAATGATAATATTACACAACATTAACCCTTAATTGGATTATACACTTCAATTTCCCCAAATCCCCCAATTTCGTATAGTTCTCAATTCAATTTTTTGACCATAAACCCTAAATTTAAGATTTAATTGATTAAATAATTTTAATGCAAAATTAAAGATAATTGACTTATAATTGTGTTTTACTATTGAAATCTCTTGTTTTCTGTACCACAATTAATTGAAATCTTATAAACTAGGCTTTCTCAACCGGAAATTCTTCCTGGAAAATAAAACGTGGTAGTGCTAATAAAAGTTTTTGTGACTTTGTGGTAGTTTTTTTAAAAGAAAATTTTAAATAATAGTTGTTCTCAAAAGTGGTCATTTAAAAGGTAATTGCTGGCAAAATTTCCTTTTTTTGTGCAAGGTTGGGGGTTGTCGTTGGTGGTGCTAACTGGTAAGGGGGAGTTATTGGATTTTAGATTTTTTGGTTCAATTTCATATCTAGGGTTGTTTGTGGGTGTTTATGTGTTTTCTGGGTTTAATTTGGTGGTTTTGGGTGTTGGTGGAAAGTGTATGCCGGCGCTAGCTAGGTGGTTTGTGATGGTGGTTCGTGGTAGTTACGGGTTGTGCAGCTGGGCTACTATGGGGGAAAGGGTTAAAGGAGGGATGATGTGGCTGGCTTGAGGGATTTCGGGCTTTTTATTTTAATTTTTGCGACGGCTAGCTGTTGCTAAAGTTGGTTTTTGCGACGGTTTTCATGGTTGTCGTAGTTTGTGACGTTTGAAGCTGTCGCAGATTATTATAGCGACAAAAATGAAATTGTCGTTAAAATTAGTAAAATCGTCGTAAAAAAAAGTTTAAGTTAGTCAAGCTGTCGCAAAAATAAAATTTTACGACTATTCTGATTGAGACAAATGGTTTACAACAGTTGACTGTCGCAACTAATTTTTGCGACTTTTTTTGCTATTTTTGGCGACATATTTTGGCTGTCACAAAATAGCTTCTTTCTTGTAGTGTTAG